CCTACCGAGTGCTGAGGTTACCGGCATGGATCACCACATTCCACACAGGCACTGCAGTCTTCCTTAAAGATGCTGGTCACATAGTGGATGCTCAGTACCTCTCCTCCCTTTCTTGCCCACCTCCACTGTCTCTTCTGCCCTTCCGTTCTCGTCTGGCCTGGAGGTCTTCCTTTGTCTTATTGGTGTGGGGTCCCCAAGGGAAGTGAATAAGTTGGTATCAGTTTTTAAAACCTTGAGTTGTAATTATTTCTTATGCTGCACCCTTAAGGACATTAAACATACACACACATTATATGTGTGTGTGTCCATATATATGTACATATAATATATAGTATATGCTTATAATTATGCACATACATGCTTATATATATAAACACGTATCTGTATCTTCATACTTCATATAGCAATGATGGTATCTTCACTACTTTATAGTTTCATAGTAGACTGTCAGCTCTATAACAAGAAAATAAACTCCAGAGGTTGCTGGACCTCCTGAAGACTCAATGCCCCTCCCACCCCAGCTTCTTTCTATGTGTCCTCCTTGTAGGAGTATGAATGTAACGCAAGGTTCCTTCCAACAGCAGGCCATGAGCAAGGGGAAGGCACACACATGGCAATGGGAAACTCAATCCAGCACTGCCATTTGGTTGAAAGTTCTCTTCAGTTTTCTGTACTGTTTAACTTTGTTTCAAATGAAGAAATCTGTGTTCCACCCATGCTTGAGACCGAGCCAAGCTGCATGACTTCACACTGCCTTTAGGACAGCATTGGATTGCATAACTGCTGAGCTTGTTTGCTCCCAACATCCTGAGATGGAGGATCTGCTATATGATTCAGAACGGAGCATTGGGCCTGTGGAGAGGTCCAACCACGGCTGGCTGGAGTTGGGGACGTTAACCGAGTGACACATCTGTGTTCTTCCAGTTGAGCTGGCATCTGCAGCAGGGAAAGCCCTTCCTGAGGGAGAAAGCCTGGGAGCTTATACTGTCCTTTTCTTTACAGCTAGTTTTTCTTTGTTTAATTATGTCTACTCTCTTTGGGTGGACCATTTCTCTAGTTCTGATCACACAACAGAAAGCGTCCCTCAGTACATTCTGTTCCTTTTAGTAGGTCTCTACTCAATTACAGGAACATGCTCAACTCTCCTCCCAACAGCCATTACTTGCTGAAATTTAAAAAAGTAAAACAATTACAAAGCATTTTCAGGGAAATAAAGGCTCACTCAGGGAGAAGCCTAAAACAATCTTTTAAAGATAAGGTTACTGGAAAACCTTTTCTTTGCAATCTCACATAAAGTTAGGTAGGTAAGCAGGTAGATGATAGATAGATAGATAGATGATAGATGTGAAGTAGATAGATAGATAGGCAGACAGATAGAAAGATAGGTAAGTTTGGTGGATGATAAAGAGATGGTAGATAGATGATAGATAAATAGAGATAATAGGTACATGATAGATGATACATAGAACAAGATGATAGCTATATGACAGATATAGGTGATATATATTTACAAAAATGATTGAAATTAATTTACATAGATACAGAGGATAGATACATAATAGATAGATGATAAACAGATACCATGATCTAATATTTGTATTAATTACTCCAATTTCATAGCATCTAGTAAGCACAGTTTCAAAGGAAGTATGAAAATAACATTTCCTCTGTTGCCTTTGACCTGAAATGTTAGTAAACTCAGGGTCTTACTTTCCTTCACTGTAGGATGGGACTGTGGAGCCAAGGGAAGCAATAGAGAATGGAGCAAGCAGCTTTGGAGATGAGTAAAGAAAGAATGAGGTCTGAATTTTGCTAGAAGTACAGTCATAGTCTTTGAGAGAAACAAAGGAATTAGTTGCTAAAGATGAGTTTTCCAGGATCTTTCAGGATGCATTTCCTGCCTTTTCATGTCTGTGGGCACCTTGTAAGTCTCTAGCTTTAATTTTGTGAGTGAAATACATTAATTTCAGGTTAAGTACCCCAGGGATAGAAAGTCTGACTCCACCCCTTGAAGGTCCAATAGCTAGAGCCATGCTACATATCTTCCTTCCTGGAAAATCAACACTGATTTATGACCAGTGACTTAAACAAATACAGTAAGTGTTCAGGTTTTTATTTTTCCTTTAAGCAAGGTAGGAAAGATTGCTACCAGAACATTGATGTAGCCTTATGGGTTGAAAGAATTTGGTTCAATAGTTCAATATGCCTAGGAAGAGGTCAAGCTGCCCCTCTCCATTGTTAGTAAGCAACCACCAATTCCACAGGGACTTGGGCACTGAGGTTTCTAAAAGGTCCATGTTTTCCTTCTGACCTTTGTCATTGAAGACTTGGTATTAGGCTGACTCCTAAAGGTTGACTGACCAAAACCACACTTTTACAGGGTAGGTCCTAACTTTGTTCAATCACGTATTAATTACAAAAACAAAGGTTGATAATACAGTTCAGGGGAATAATTTAGCCTTTGTTTCCAGACAGAGCTGCTTTCAAATTCCACAGTACTGCTAGAGGGGAGTGGTATACCTCACTGGAGGATGAGACAGTCTGGGATACAGAGTGAGATTCCATCTTACAGACCAGAAGAAATGGAAAAAAGAAAAATAAAATCTACACCAGAGCTGTCTCATAGAATAGAACTCAGCTCAAAAGACAAAAAATAATTTTTTTAGTAAATAGTTTTAAAGAAAACCAGGTGACATTAATTTTAACCATGTGCTTTATTTAAACTCATGCATATCTAAGAATATTTAGATATATAATAGGTATAAAAAATGATTCTATTGAGAAAGTTTAAGTTTTGCACATGTTTGTACCTAAGTCTTTAAAATTTTAGTGGGTATTTTATACCTGTAGCCCATCTCAAGTCAGATTGGCTATGTTTTAATTTCCCAGGTACCACATGTAACTTATGTATTGGATGAAACTATTCTAGACCCTCCCCTTGCAAATGGTATGGTTGTGGGGGAGTGATCAATCCATTGTGAGTCCCCACTTACTCTCCTATAATATGGTGCTATATAAAATAGAGTTGGGGCTAGAGAGGCTTTTCATTGGTTAAAAAAGCATACTACCCTTGTAGAGGACCCAAATTCCCTTGGAACTTCAATTCCGAGAGGCCCAACACCCTCTTTGGGCTTCTGCATGAGTTTTACTCATATGTACACACACACACACACACACACACACACACACACACACGTAACTAAAAGTAAAACAAATCTTCAATCTTCAAAAAAGACATCTACATGTAAGGTTAAATGTGAGAGCAAATCGGCTGAGAGCAGTGTCTAGTGCCAGACCACAGTTACTATTGTCATGCAATGACATTCAACCACCTACTTTTCAATAATTTGGGGCCTGTCGTGTCATCAAAAGGCTAGTCCACAGAACTATGAAACATCCTCAGGGATGACTGATGGCTTGATCCATTTGAGAGATATGGGTCTGGAGAATTTTATACATTTGAGTATAAATTGAGGTGGAGATGTGTGGTCCCAAACCACAGTCTAGAAATGAAGAGTTCATTACTGAAAGGACTGCCATGACCCAACACAGAACAGGCATAAGAATATCAAAATGGATGCTCAATGATGAGTCGAAACAGAGCTTAGGATTTCCCCTCATGGTTATTCACAACAAGTAGGCGGAAATACAAGTCAGGTATTCTCCTCTTCACTGGAAAGTAAAGAAACATCTGGGAGTGTAGCACAGCCATACTACATTTTGGTCAGTGGACAGGGTACCCTACTTTCAGTCCCCAGCACTACCACCAGAAAGGAAGAAAGGAGGAAAGGAAGGGAAGGAGAGAGGGAGAGAGAGAGAAAGAAAAAGATGGAGGGAAGGAGGGAGGGAGGGAAGGAAGGAAGGAAGGAAGGAAGAAAAAAAGGAGGGAGGGAGGGAGGGAGGGAGGGAGGGAGGAAGGAAGGAAGGAAGGAAGGAAGGAAGGAAGGAAGGAAGGAAGGAAGGAAGGAAGGAGGAGTGATACAGTTAGTAAAGGAAGTGAATGGGAAAATTTCTATTGTTTTTGGGGCTGCTAGGTGGATCTTTTCCTTGTCTGGCCTGTATACTACCCTTTCATTCTCACCCATCAATTAATTGTGCTATGAACTGGGGTAGGTGACCGATTTTGACTAGCTCACTCTACACAGAACCCTGGACTCAGGTCAGAGTAAAACGCTTCCTCCACTTAAGATCAAACAAGATGTGATGGCAGAAACAAGTGACAAGATGGCAGAGAAGGGACCCATTCTCTATTCTACTTCCATGCTCAAACTGATGGCTTGTTTCTGTGACATGTGGACAACACAGTGGGCACCAACTAAGTTCTTGCATTAGACAAAGCAAGAAGAGCAGACCGAGTCTCATCTATTTTCTCAGTAATTCTATTTATTGAGAGGCTGGCAACTCACTTGAGAAGTGGGGTCACATAGGTAAGAACCAAGGAGATCTGAGAGAATGGTGTGTGTGTGTGTGTGTGTGTGTGTGTGTGTGTGTGTGTGTGTGTGTGTGTGTGCAGTGCTATGGGTAAAACTGAGACAGAAGTAACTGCTCTCAAGCAACGACCCCAGAGTGCACATGGCTTTTGTTATATCTGGCCGGCTCAGTAACTATCCAAGTTATGGGGCGACAGGGGATCCTGTCTAGACCAGTTCTTTTGGCCTTGGGTTTGGCAGAACATAGAACCAGAAAGCCTAATCATGGCCCAAATATCTCTGCATTTTTTTTTCCTGGTAGACAGTCAAGCTGGGTGGAAACTAAATCCCAAACAATTACCAAATAGTAATAAATGAGAAAATAAAAAGACAGCAAAGCCTTTCTTTGGGTCTTGATAGCTGTGTCCTGGCTCTGAAGCCGTAGCATGGTATTTCTGAAGTGAACAGCTGTGTGATAAAAGCACAGGAGACAGCTTTAAGCACAGCTTTTCCAGTGTACACAGTCACCTCTAGGTCACATGTGGTTTCTAGTCTCAAACATGATTCTTTGACAGGAAGAACACAGCAACATATAACTGAAATAATTTATTTACCACTAGAGCACCACAAAAACCAGACATACATTGTGTTAAAATACAGTATAATTGGTCATCAAAACACATAACAGCTATTCTTATATTCCATTCTTTAAAAACCATGCCAACCATAAAATTGTACTGTTGCTTAACACATACAATCTGCTGCCCCACCCATATGCTAACACACCCCCTGCCCCCCTCCTACAACCCCTCCCATGGCAATATTTACTAATAGGAAATAAAGACCTGTAGACCCCACAGACTTAGAGAGAGAGAGAGAGAGAGAGAGAGAGAGAGAGAGAGAGAGAGAGAGAGAGAGAGAGAGAGAGACTTAAAAAAGAGCAGTCAGTGCATTCAGAAGGAGAGACAAAATCATACAAAACAAAAATGTCATTTTATCTGAGAGAAAAATATCTGCAGAAATAAGAGGGGGTATACAGAAATAACAGAGAAGTGTAAGGGGAAGGAAAATGAACACACAGGCAAATCTGGGTTTGTGTTGTGTCTGATACAAGGGTCATTCACCAGCACTTGCTCTGTCTCTTTTTTTGACTTGCAAATCCTGTTCTTTGTCTTAATGAATTTTGAGGAAAGCTCCCCAAACAAGTATACCATATCAAAGACATTCTCTTCGTATTCACACCTCACTGTGTTCCCCTTTGGGTGAGACCATAAATATTTCACTGTTTTGTGGACTAGTTTGTATCTTGAAGCTAAGGAAGTGACGAGGATACCCTGCAAAGCCCACCGTCAGGTCCCGCCTCTCAAAGATGAGACCACCTATTTCCTCAAGCCAAAGCCAACCTCCGCTGTAGAGCATTCTCATTCAGGTGAAAGGAAGAACATTTTGACAATGGAGAATTCGGCTTGTGCTTTTTCAGCCTTCAAAGAATTTCTTTGAAAACCTGAACTTCAGGGAAGTTAATGAAATGATGAATGCTGGTCAGGACTTTTTCCTCCTTTGAAAAACCCAACCAAAGTGTATATCTTTCAGTTCTCCCCATAAAACCAAAAGCCTGATTAAAGAAAAAGGTGCTTTTTCTTTTTAAATGTCTGCTTTTTAACAGCAATAAAATTCCACAAATATATGAATTAAAGAAAGCCAGAGAAACTTTTTTTAGCCCAGTCACCAAGATTCTGAGTTCAGATTATTAAACCCTCTCTAAAACTACATTTGTGCTCAGTTCTCTGTCTTCACACATCTCCATCTTCCCAGGAGAAGCTTTGTCATCGGACCTGACGAGTTAGTCCTGACAGAGAAAAGATTGAGGACGACTGTAGAACTCAAGCATATCTTTTTGTTTTTGTTTGTATGTTTGTTTTTGTTTTTTTTATCTTTTTATGTTTGTTTGTTTTTGGAAAAGAAAAGGAAAGGGAGAAAAATGGACCCGAGTATCTTATGTCATTTAATGGACAATACATAAAAGACAAGCAGAGAAGATACTATTTAAAAAAAAAATGAATTTGTAGTGCAAGTCAAAATCTAGGGGTTTTATTCAAAGATACTGGCCAGCTAAAGGAAACAAACATACAATCTGAATGACCATTAAAAAAAAAGTCCAAATTTAAGTTCAATCTAAATCATAATCATTATTACAGAACATCAAAAATACGGTAAGGATCTACATATTACATATAAAGTAGTTAATGTTTTGATTTAATAGTTTGTAAAACAGATCTGCAGATGTGTTTTCAATTATGCTGGCTTCTAGACCCATCTATTTTAATAGTGTCAGTGTGATTACATATCCCAAGACAAAGGAAAAAAACCTGTATCGGCGCTCTACGGCCACTTCACGGTCCAAAGTCTGACAAAACACGTCAAAACAGGTCAACATTTCACTGGCTTGCTTAAACTGGCAAAGAATCATTTACAATTAAAAGAAAGAAAAAAAAAAAGCAATCTCCCAGAGTCCCACTGACTCCAGGCTTTCTTCCTTAACAGGCCTTCTCAGTGTATGGCCGCCCGTGAAGCAGGCAGTTGGTGCACAGCTCGTGTTCCTGGGGCTTCCACACTTTTGCAGACTGAAGTCCTCTCTATATAAGGACTCACAGGGATTTCATCCTGGTGTGACTGCCTGCTTTTCCGGCTCGTTTGAGTTCAAATTCCTTAAGCCATCCATGAGTCTGTGGCAAAGCATTTGGTCTCCATTTTATACACCTGTTTTGTTTTCCAAGGGCAATGAAAGGTTCATTATATAGTAACACACAATAAATAACCCACTGTTAGCTCAGAGGAAGGGACAGGGAAGGTGCCCACTGCAGAGCAATACAGAGGAACCAGGAGAAGCACGGCGAAGTGTGGGTGCAAACGATACGTACAACTCCACTGAACGGATTTCCTGTTTTGTTTTTCTTTCACATAATTAACACTAACAAATTCTTCCAGTGTTTATTTTTTCCTTTAAAAAAAAAAAAAGATGTTTTCTTTTGGTGTCTCTCATGAAGTAGGCGAAATGCAGACTGAAGCCTTCCGTGGTTTTTTGTCGCTGTAATCTCAGGTGCCAGTTTTAACAAACAGAACACAAGCTTGCAAAATGTTTGAACTAGTACCGCTTTTTCTCCATTTTTTCCTTTAAACACTGATGAATCAAAACTCCCTCGTGTCATAGACATCATCATCATCATCATCATCATCATCATCGCTGTCGTTGTCATGCGTCATTGTCACCGTGATTTTCGTGTCGTGGCTTTTCTGAGGACCTTAGCTGCATTTACAAGACTTGACGATCATGTTGGAAAGCTGTTCGATCTTGGGTGTGTTACCAATGTAGTAGAGGATGGTCAGTGGCTCCAGATCTTGGGACACACAGCAAGGGGAAGCAGAGGCTTCAGGATTTATGGTATTGTACAAACTGAGGACCTGAGGGACACAACACAGGGACACACACACAAGCAAGGGATTAGTTTCATTTGTGTTTAAATTTTGTACTTATGTGCATGTGTGTGCACCTACAAGCAGGGGCCAGAGGTTGGTGGTGGATGTCTTCCTCAGTCTCTCTCCACTTCATTATCTATCTATCTATCTATCTATCTATCTATCTATCTATCTATCATCTATCTACCATCTACTTATCAATCATCAATCTATCTATCATCTATCTATCTATCTATCTATCTATCTATCTATCTATCTATCTATCATCTATCTACCATCTACTTATCAATCATCAATCTATCTATCATCTATCTATGTATCTATCTATCAATCTATCTACCATCTACCTATCAATCATCTATGTATGTATGTATGTATGCATGTATGTATGTATCTATCTATCTATCAATCTATCTACCATCTACCTATCAATCATCTATCTATGTATCTATGTATCTATCATCTATGTATCTATCTATCTATGTACGTATGTATCTATCTATTTTAGGCTGGGTCTCCCGCTGAATCTGAAGCTTGTTGATTTGGCTTAGGTTGGCTTGGTCAATGAGCTCCAGGGATGCTCCTGTCTCTGTCCCTCACAGCCTGAGGTTATAAGAGGACATCACCACATCTGGCTTTTATGTGATTGATGGGGATATGAACTCAGGTCCTCATGCTTACCGCATTTTACACACTGAGTCACTTCCCCAGCTCAGGGCCACTGAGTAGGCAATCTCAATTATTTGTTTTCTTACCTCTAAGTTATTGTCAGACTGGCTTGTGTCCTTAGCAATGACAGACTTAGACTTTTCCCACAGGCTGCCTTTTGTTCTTTTTGTACATATTAAACAAATGATCCCATAAAAAAGTCTGATTACACCAAACTGTTCGGTTAGCAGATTTTCCTATTTTTTCCCCAATAAATCTACTGGCCTTTGCTATACAAAGGCCTCAGTCCTCCTGCCATATCATCTTGTTTCTATATAAATTCCATATAAGCCAAGGTTTCATGAATACCCATTTTATATTCCCACACAGGTTAAATGCTCCTTGAGTTCAGGGACTCTGCTCACTTTGTTTATGCCTTGTAACTCTAGGAAGTCTTGTCTGGACAGTATATGACTCATATGCTCAGGGACAAAATGACAAATAGAGGAATAATAATTCTTACAAGAGCTGTAATCGACCCTCAGGTATAGACAGGATGCCCGCCTGCAGTAGGATATCTTCCTGTCAAACGACTTCACAAGCCAATGAAATGTCACTTACATTTTCTTTTTTAAAAAATCCTTTTCCTTACAATGACTTATAATTAAGTGATGTTAAGAAGGGAGGAAAAATCAACATGAAAGCCACATAAATTCTTCATTTTGTTTCACTTTGATACAAAGTCTTCCTTTGTAGCCCACACTATATAATAGACCAGGCTGGCCTTGAGCTTATTATATAGCTCAGGTTGGCCTTAAACTCACAATCCTCCTGCCTTAGCCACTTGAGTTCTAGAATTACAGGTGTGCACTACCCTACCCAACTAGTTAATCTACAGTTCCAATTGTTCATTTTCTTTTATTTTGCTTAAATCAATAATAATAACTGGCCCTCCATTAACATTCGTCATGCTAAATGGGGATGACCAAGTTCAAGAACTAAATACCTAGTCCTAGAATAGAAGAGAAAGTGCTGTACATAGGTCTGTAGTTTTATCCCATTCTCCATCACAGGAGTGTGTGGCTCTTATTGAAGGAAGTGTGTAGGTTACCCAGTGATGACAGAGATATTTCCAAGGATGCCATTAATGTGTTAGTCAAACAAGTGACCTTTTCCTCGAGATTCCCTGGGATGTTTTCAACTGAGGACAAGAGACCTGTTGAGCACAGCAACACTGAATACTTTATTAGGCTACCCCTGGCTTCTTGGGGAACTGTCCAAACCACATATTTGTGACCATGACAGTTATTCTTCCTTCTCCTTGAAAAACAAGCTTGGCCTCAGCCTTCACACACTCCCTCTGTGTATCAGGGAGGAGAATTACGTTTCGACTTGGCATCTGGGCCCTGCCCGCGTTACAGCTACTGCCGCTGCAGTCCAGATGAAGCAGGCTGGCCAGAGAACTCAGACAAAGGGACGGCATGAGCCAGCTTCCCTCACATGGCCAAGCACGTGGTCAGCCCTGAGTGCCAAGCCTACAGGGGCACTGGGAAGATGACTGGAGGAGGGGAAGCCATGTTTGCTCATTTCAATTCCAGTCCAGGCAGGCATTTAGAAGTAAATAGACCTCATATTCCACTAATACATAATTTTGCATAAGCAGGAAAGAGCCATTTTTTAATAACACAGAATTGTCGAAAATAATTGATAACCCCCCAACTCTTGAATTCAGCCAAATGCGATCTCTCTGGCAGCAGATTCGTTTTCCTACCCTGCAGTGAAGGCAATGTTTCTAATGCCTCTTTAATAAGGAGATTTACAGAGCATAAAGAGCAGAATAGAAACCTCTCCTTGCTGCCACATTTTAGGAATTAAGCTCAGAAAGATGGAGCAATGGGGACTGGGTTATAAAACAAGCGGGGCTGCGATCCAAGCTCCGGGCTGCCACTTTTTTTGCTTTCATCTTGGTCAAGGCACCCACACAATCTAAATCTAATTTCTTTGTTTTTAGAAAAATCCTGTTTGAACAAGACCACGTCTGAAGTCTTCCCATCTCTAAAACCCTACATCATAAGCCACAAAGAGGAAGCCCATGGATGAATACATCAGTACGTAGAAAACGTTGTGCTCATCTGGGCTGGGGACGCATGGCATCCAGTCTTGGAACTTCTTGCTGAGTTAGTCCTCTGTCCTCACTGAAGAAACTTGATAAAATATTTAGCTATGTGTTCGCTTTGGGTCCTAGTCATAAAGATTTATAGAGACAGAAGTGGTAGTGCATGCCTGTAATCCCAACACTTGGGAGACAGAAGAGACAGGAGGATTGCCATAAGTTCAAGGCCAGCCTGATCTACATAGTGAATTTCAGGACAGCCAATGCTACACAATGAGATCCTGTATCAAAAAAAGCAACCACCAACAAAAGAAGTTATAGAGATATCCATCTTAAATATATACATTGTATTTCACAATAACTATTGAGTTTGGCATTGTTATTGTTGTTATTGTTGTTATTATTATTATTATTATCATTACTGACTTAGGCAAGAGTAGGAGAGACAAACAATTCAGATACGTACCTTGGTGTGCTGAGTGTCTGAACTCCATAGATACGGGCAAGCCCCAGCACAGAAGTTGGCATTGTACCCTTTGGGTTCATGGATCCATTTCCACCCAAGATCCCTCTTGAAATCAATGTAAAGAGGGCGAAGGCAGCAATTATCCTGCACATTTCTGTTAAAAGAAGAAGCAGTGGAGATTTGGGAGTTGATTTCACATGTATCTCACCCTGAGTCAAAAAAAATGACCCATTAACTCATTCCACTCATAGCAAACACCATGAAACTGGCTAGGAGGGCTCTCTTGTCACCTTACATGATGTCAACAGTGAGATACCATAATGAGTCCCTGGACTACTGTCCCGGATGTATTCTATACCCTGGCCTTTTTGTCTATGACCTGGAAAAATCAATATTTATCTTCAATGAATTAAGAGTAAGCGAGCAGACAGTTGAAAGGGGCAGAGTCCTTCCTGCTGAACAGCTACCATCCAGTCTCTACTGCTGTTTTGTGCACACAATGGACAAAATACAACAGACATTTTCAGAGAGCCCCTGGAGGCATTTCCCTTTGAGAATATATCCTATGCTTTACCACTTATTAGCTAGATCTAGGAATGAATCAGAGTTCAGGAAATATGGAGTCTTGTTGCCATAGCCACTGTCTCTGTCAACCGAAATGTCCTCCTCTACCTGTGACCTATGACACGGTGAGCACCTCATGAAGAGGCCCCTGCCCCTGATCCACAACTTCTAAAACAAGGAGTCCTCCCCCTATAGGAAGCACAGAAGGTCATGCATGCATCTTCCCCTTCAGGAATTCATGCAAAAGTGGCAAACAAATTCTTGCCGCTCAAGGTATGGCCATCAGCCTTCTTGTACCATCTTACTTCTATAACTCAGAAAGAGATCAGACCCCAGGCGAAGACTTTACATAAGTGATGGGTCTTACTGATATAGCCAAAATCTCAAGGAAACTTACATTTGTTTTGTGAGCAAAGAGTATTCAGAACTTATCAGAACCCAAGCACTTCAGAGAGACTTGAAGAAAACACCCCCGGGGCTAGTTTTCTCCCTTCCCACCTGGTTCATTGCCAGAGAGCTAAGGACCATAGCACAGAAAGAACTGTTGAAAGTCCTCAGGAAACCTCAATGATATGGCTACCTAAACAAGGCCTGAGCAAGGACAACACCAATTGACATGCCAGCATGGATGGGGTAAATGTCACAGGGCCCTGCTCCCAGATGAAGGTCTATAGATGATCAATGACGGCTAAGAGATGAAGAACTAGTCTTCCCCAGACATGTAACCCTTATTGGTTATCTAACCCAAAGTGATCAGCCTAAAACATGTATAAATAAGTAACACTAAGTAGAGTAAGCAGGTTGCATTTATGTGGTTTTTTTGCGCGCGCATGCGTGCATGCGTGTGTGTGTGTGTGTGTGTGTGTGTGTGTGTGTGTGTGTGTAAAACAATAACAGAAAAAGAGGCCATGAATTTGGGAGGGAGCATAGGATAAAAGGAAGGGGTTGGAGGGAGAAGTTATGTACTATAATTATATTTTAATAAAAAATAAAATATTTTTAGTTAGTCCTTGGGGAGAATGCTGTTATGAGATTCAAAAGCTTTACTGTCTCTACAAACCGGCCTTGAGCAATGACTTCAATTCAAGTCAATACATGGAGGCAAAAGCAAAGACAATGCAGGGGTTAACAGAAGCGATCATTTGTTTTTAGTTTCATTTCTTTACCTAAAGCAATAGGCGGCATCCAAAGCACGCTTCTTCCGCCGGTTGGACTGTTGTGACTCCAGTCTGTAGGAGGGCAACAACATTAGCAGGAGATGTGGGGTCTTCCCACTGTTTTTTTTCCTAGTGGACTTTATAGTTTTCTGATCACCACTGGTATATGTGGAGGTGCCATCAATACCTTAAAAAAACGCATTTGGGTAATAAATATTTAGCTTTACCTTTATCAAATATAAGCAGCAATATTTATATCATATAGTTTCCCCATGTATGCGGTCACAAACAACAGTGATGACTGCCGCAGCTGCATCGACTGGCTATCACCATTCCCCACAGAAACAGATAGGGCACAGTGGGCCCCCCACAAGCAACAATGAACACATCTAAATGGGCCTCTTGTCCAAAGGCAGTTCTGTGTTGAAGGCCAGGCGATGACTGGGAGAAGTCACTACAGAAGAAGTCTTTGACCTATGGTCCAAGGGCAACCTAGGCGGTTTATTTTAGTCCATCCTCAGCGTGGGCTGTGTTCAAGCTCTCAGCAACAGAGCACACAGCCATAGAGCATGCCTTGTCACCTGGTTCCGTCTTTCCTGAGACCATCAACCCAGCAGACTTTCCTAACGAGCATAACCCGAGGCGCAGCTAAACAGCCGTGAACTAGGTTCAAGTGAAACAGAACTCACCCTTACCTAACGCTATTTTGGGAAGCTGCGCAGAAAGAGCTTTTTCATTGATTTTATGGCATCCTCAACACTTTTCTGATTCCATCTGAGATTTAGAAACTTGAGCTCCCCAAAGCATGCTCGAGAGACTGCCAGTTTAAGCATTTAATCTCCACTCAAGAGAATCGTGGCTAGGTTAGAGACCAAAATAAATCTCTACACCTTCAGGGAGTATTTTTCCATGAGCAAGGGCCACCGAGGATTTCTAAAAGTGGATTGAGGTCCCAGGTGAGGTTATGAGGGAAGGCTGGCAGATGCCACATGTGTGGCATGGACTTCCCTTTCACCTCCTCACCCAACAATTCTCTGTCTCATAAGTCAAGTGGCATCTTCATTTACTCCATATGTTGATGAATTCAACTCAAAGGTGAGCAGGAGAAATGAAAGCCTCATTCTGTGTTTATTAGCTGCTACAGAAACCTGGTAAAGAAGCCACTTGCAGTAGTGGGTGCAGGCTAGAAAAAAGGTGCGTCCCAACACCGGGAAGGTGAGTTACAGAAACTGAGATGTGAGACAATTCTCTTCTTTAGTGAAATGTATTTGTTGATGCTTGAAATTTTGCTTGGGGGTGGGCAGGGTTAGAAATGGATTTCTTTGAATCCTTGTTATCTACTTCAATATCTCAGCAGATAGGAAGCTGGTTTGCTTAAGTGAAGAATTAAGGGCTTAATAACTGAGCAGTAGTTCACAGGGTTACTTAGCCAGTTTCGTCACTAGGCATGAAGCAGTGAAAATCTGGAGTATATTCCTTTCTTCCAATCCTTCCCACATAAAAGAAAGTATTTTCATTTTATCTTTTAATTGTGTGTGTGTGTGTGTGTGTGTGTGTGTGTGTGTGTGTGTGTGTGTGTATGCCCTTGAGTGCAGGTGCCCTTGGAGGCCAGAAGAGGTCGCCAGATTCCCCTGGAACAGGAGTTATAAGCAGTTGTGAGCTCCTTGGTGTGGGTTCCGGGGGACTGAACTCAGATCTTTTGCAAGAGCAGAACCTGCTCTTAACCACTGAGTCCTCTCTCCAGGCACACTTCGTACTTTCTTCTCTCTCCCACCGAGCAGATCATCGCCCAGATAAATGAAAGTTTCCGCCCTTCACCAAACAATGCCATTTTCACACGCAAACTGACTTCGCCCCTCAGAAGAGACTCTCAGAGTGAGGAGAAAGCCTCGGTTACCTGCAAATCTCGCTTCGAGCTCTTCACTTTTATTGGGGATGATGTAATTATTCGATGGCACGAAGGTACAGCAGGGGCAGTGCAAACTTATCTTGAATCCCAGGTTCCTGTCTGGAAAACAGAAAGTTAAGGAAGTCATTTGTACATGTGCCGTCTACGTCGTCTGCAGCCCAGTCACGCGCTGTTGGGCCCACATCTAGGGAGAGAAGAAGGAGGTGCCGGGTAACCTTTGTGGTGAAGCCACTCGTGCACGGCGTCAGTCACGTCGAAGGAGAGCCATTCGCCCTCCGCTCTCGTTTTCACAACCTTGCTATCGATGTAGCGCTGGGTTGGGGACGTTAAGTCTTTGGATTTGAGGATCTAGAGAGGGAAAAGAACAAGAGAAACCACTCAGCTGGATGCTGACCGGATTACCAAACCCAAACCGGTCACACTATTCCAAGTCATTATTGACGTTTAGCTCCAGGCCTGTCTTCATGCATAGCCATCCCGACAGTGTGGCTCCGTGCATGAGAACATAATATCAGCCATTTGTTCTGGAAAGTACAACTACGAAATCCGCTGTGTGTTTTGATAAAGATGGCAGCAACCATAAAGTCTGGTGTCAAAGAAAAGTGACAGTCGTTATTTTACTTCGCTGACAAAAGTTCCGTAACAATCCGCCGTATTATTTTTTTAATGCTATGAAGTTTGTGGCTTTGTTGTTCTGTCTCCTTACTTCTTTAATTTGGGGATCTGGGAGATGAGGGTGCAGTTCAGAAGACCCTCCCTCCCAGGTCCCTGGATTATACATCTTTTCAGAGAGAGAGAAAGGGCTTGCCCCTGTTTCCTAAATCTGCTGGCATTAAAATATGTGCCCTGCTTTTGAGGTAAACCTCTGGCTGGGATTTTGACTCTCAGTGTGATGTGTGATTTATGATGAAATCCTGCATCCTGCCATCTCAGAAGGACTTTGGGCAGGAATGGTCTGGCACAGTGTGCCAATCAGAGTCTGAAAACAGATCCGCCTGAGCACCAAGACTTCAGGAAGATAGAGAAGGAGCTGTGACGGGAAGCTCTAGGATTTCAACGGGGAGTGTACATCTGAGGCAGTTTCTACAAGTCTGTTTTAAAATGATCATGTTTTATGAACTAAACTGTGACCTTAAGTTTCCCGGAGCTCTAGTGAATCCTATGTGCGGCCCATGGCTTGCCCTTCAGCAGTACTGAGGGGCTCCAGGCATAGTGTTGTATACAGATCTTCCTGATTCTCAGTCTACTTTTGAGGGTATTTCCTACTTAGGGATTTGGTCCCTCCGGTAAATCATAAGCTTCTGCAGATCATGGGGTCATGCTATCAACTTGCAGCATTTCAAAGAGTAACACTCCACTGATTCAACAGCTACTAAAATGACTCTCTAGAGATCTAGTAGATAGATTTGTTCCCTGGTAAGCTGCAAAACCAAAACACGTTACCTTCCAACTAGTTGTTAATGCATTCTTCCCCCTACCACCCACCTGTGTGCACACATACACACACACACACACACACACACACACACACACACACACACACACACACACACACACACCTTCACAGTTTGCTTCAGATAATATGGCAACAAATGCTTCCTGGGATCTTTGGAGTTAGAGTACATTCACCCCAGGATTGACAAAGTACTGTGAGAAGAAAGAAGCCAGAATTGGGGCTGCAGTTCAGTGGGAGAGTGCTTGCCTGGCATCCCCAAACTAGAGAAGGAAGGAAGGAAGGGAGGGAGGAAGGGAGGGAGGGAGGGAGGGAGGGAGGAAGAAGGGAGGAAAAAGGAGGCAGGAAGGACAAAGAGAGAGGGAGGAAGGAAGGAAGGAAGGAAGGAAGGAAGGAAGGAAGGAAGGGAGGGAGGGATAGGGAAAAAAGGGTGGTACAAAAGAAAATAAAAACTGTAAAGGAGGGGGGAGGGAAAGACAAAGAGGAGGAAGGATGGAGAGAAGAAGGGAAGAAAAGAAAGAAAACAGACTCATGCATTTACATGCTCAGGTGTCCTTATGACCTTTGGACAAATTTACTCCACAGGCCTGTCCCAGGGGACAAACCCCACTAAACGGAAGAATGTAGGGGTAATCATGACCCTGTAAGAGGCAAGAAGTTCTTTTTACCAGTTAAAGAAAAACAGTGAATATGACTTGAGGGCTGGGTACAGTGGACTCCAGGCTTAACGCATGCTATTTGGTTTAATTTAATCCTCCAAAGATTCCTATAAAGTAGATTAAGCAAATGGAAAATCAGGGAGGATTCAAAGCCCGCCCCACCCCCAAGCCATTTTCCTACTTTGTTATGACAATCAGAGTGGAGCTATGGGGTCACGACCCTTTTTCACAGGATAGAAAGAATTCAATAATCAAAGCAAAAATCTTTGAAGAAGATTATACTAAATTTTGATGCAGGCGGAATGCACACCTAGTTGACTGAGGATGACATAAAACGTTAAAGACGCAGCCCTGCATCCATGAGTCCTCCATGGAGAAGAGCTGTCTTGAGCGAATAAGACACAACTTATCCAACTGAGAAGTGGCACAATGACAAAAACAAGAGTGGAAGTGGAATTTCATCCACTTCCCCGACTGGCCAATGGTTCGGAGCATGCCCAGACTCATCCTTCTTTCAGGACTTTTCTCCTAGTAGGTCTTCTATGAGGTGCTGCATTGTTAGGAGGAAATCTGGATACTTTCTGTGCTTTTAATAGCCTATTCATCTGCACATAATTAACACTTAGGGCTACTACCCAGAACAAAAACTCAGTTTCATTGTTGAACTAATTATATCTAAATTACATATTATATAATTATTTGATACTATGATAGAACAATTTTTATGATTATAAATTTTGAATGTAAAATTAAATGTATATCCAATGTCTATGATATATATGACACATTTACATGATTTCATCTACTCACACACACATATGCATATACATAATATCTAGTCTCACTGAGGACAAGAATATCATGACCATATTAACCAAATGGATGAAAAAGGCATACCGGCAAATTGATAGAAAAATTTTTATTCTCTTTACATTTCTGTACATGTGTGAGAGTGTCTGGAAGCACTTATGTCATGGTAGGTGTGGTGGGCGGAGCACAGGATACAGGTGTCGCTTCTCACTATCACTGTGTGGGTCTCAGGGATGGAACTTGGGTCAGCAGGGTTGGTGGCAGGTATCTTTGTCCACTGAGCCACCTCACCAGCCTATTGATGGGGATTCTGTTCCTTACAGGGGAGTAAATCTACATTATCCTGATTTCAAGAGGGGGAATAAAGGATAGCAAAGGGACTCTGGCTTTTTCTGTTGTGAATCCCCTGAAGAGTTAGGGATTGCGGCTTCCTCAACCACAGAGCACTGCAAGGCTCAGGCAATGAACAACTCACTTTTTTTTTTTTTTTTTTTTTAGATCAGAGAAGAGCATGCTGGATTGGTTTTATCCAGGGTTAAGTCATGAAAAGGCCACAAGTCAACAACCCCAAGAAAGACAGGAGGCCACGTAATTCTGGGACAGAGAAGTGCTGGTTTTTCTTTCTGCGCCAGTCAGTGTCTTGAACTCTCCAGACAATGACTTCTTAAATTCACTCACAGTCTTGACTCCACTCTTCTCCTGTCCTGAGCAGAAACAGGAAACAGTTGTTTCTCATCACTCAGAGAATAGTCCCCTTGCTCCTGAAGACTGTTATTAAGTCCCCTCAGCACGCATGTTTTCTCTCTAAGCTAAATAAACGGAGTTCCTTTAGACCGTGTTTAGAGGGGCAGACTCCCAAACCTTTAATCATCTGAGAGGCTAACAAGGACTGATGATGCTTTTTAAAAGTGTACCTCCACAGGCTTCATGGTTTCCCCCTCAGAACTGTCTAGAAAAGCTTCTACTCACACATTACCGTGGAATCTTCACTTCAAAGCTATCTTCAAAAGCTATACATGCCACTCCTCCATTCCCTGTTTATTACCATTTATCAGCATGTTAAATTAAGTCTAAAGAGAAGATGTATCCCAGGGAGTAAACCTGATGTCTCTCTTCACTGGGCCTTTCCTACATTCGAGAAGTCATAAAAGGTGTTGGGAAGGTAATTCTAGCAATAAAGTGCCTGTCCTGCCAGCAAGAGGATCTGAGTTCAGATTCCCAGTACTCACATGAAAAGTCGGGCATGGTGGCATGCATCTGTAACTACAGTACAGGAGCAGAGGCAGGAGGATTTCAGAAGGTCACCAGCCAGTCAGCCTTGCTGAATGGATAAGCTCCAGGTTCACTGAGAGGCCACTTAAACAGTGAAAGGCTATCAAAGAGCACATCCAATATTGATCTCTGGCCTCCACATGCATGTATACACACACACACACACACACACACACACACACACACACACAGAAGTCACAGCAAAAAAGGACTAGACCATTTTTAGCCTGTGCTACCTGAGCTGTTCTCTTGTCTCTAACCCAGGGCATCAGATGTGACCAGCTGCGGGGTCCTTCTGGATCCAAGGTCACTTGTTGCTGTGTTTCTTTCCATAACTTAGGGCAGAGGTAATTTGGTCAATGAGCAGCTATCTTTCTTGGCCCAGTTACCCAATGCTGCCCATCCATTCCAGATTCTATCCTCAGCTGACCAGAACCTGCGAAATTCTGGGGCTCTTCTAGAACATACTTTCTAACCACTTCTGGCCCTTGCCGGGTGAATTGTGCTTAGCAAACATCCATTGTGCATGTTTCCCAACTGGCTGATGACAGCTGCACTTGGTATTGAAATGATGCAAGTTAATTAATTGCCTAGAAGCTGACCAAAAGAAAAGGGAGCTAGTACTTCTGTGAAAAACCAGAGCGTTCTAGAAGGTATTCAGAAGGATGACTTGCTGTAAGAGAAAAGTGCGTTTTTGAAAAAAAGTTCCTCCAAAGAGTAATGAGAGTTACCACATGACCCAGAAAAGCCACTCCCACCTATAACCCAAAAGAATTGAGAACCCAGATACAAACAGATAATGTATATACCAATTATCTCAGACACTGTTCTTTTGCTATGAAGTAACACCATGACCAAGGCAGCTTATAAAAGAGCGCATTTCATTGAGGGCTTGCTTACAGTTTCAAGGGGTTTGTCCATGACCATCATGGTGGTTAGCCTGTCAGGCAGCAGGTGGACACGATACGATACTGTAGCTGTAGCTGAGTTCATATCCTGGTGCACAGGCAGGAGGCAGAGAGGGTGAGAGACTGGGTCTGGCATAGGCTTTAAAAACCTCAAAGCCCACCCCCAGTGACACACCTCCTCCAACAAGGCCACACCTCCTAATCCTTCCTAAACATTCTACCAACTGGGAACCAAACACTCAAATC